GTGACGACGGCTGTGTCCTGTCTGTGACGGGGCCCTGTCCCTGCCGCATGACTGACAGTGACAACGGCTGTGTCCTGTCTGTGGACGGGGCCAGTCCCTGCCGCATGACTGACAGTGACGACGGTTGTGGTCCCTGTCAGCGACGGGGCCTGTCCCTGCCGCATGACTGACAGTGACGACGGTTGTGTCCTGTCAGCGACGGGGCCTGTCCTGCCGCGTGACTGACAGTGACGACGGTTGTGTCCTGTCAGCGACGGGGCCTGTCCCTGCCGCATGACTGACAGTGACGACGGTTGTGTCCTGTCAGCGACGGGGCCTGTCCCTGCCGCATGACTGACAGTGACGACGGTTGTGTCCTGTCAGCGACGGGGCCTGTCCCCTGCCGCATGACTGACAGTGACGACGGCTGTGTCCTGTCTGTGACGGGGCCAGTCCCTGCTGCGTGACTGACAGTAGCGGCGACTGTGTCCTGTCTGGGGTGGGACCTGTTCCTGCCGCATGACTGACAGCGACAGCGGCTGTGTTCTGTCTGGGGTGGGACCTGTTCTTGCCGCGTAACTGACAATAACGGCAACTGTGTCCTGTCTGGGACTGGGCCAGTCCCTGCTGCGTGACTGACAGTGACGGCGGCTGAGTCCTGTCTGGGACTGGGCCTGTCCCTGCCGCACGACTGACAGTGACGACGGCTGTGTCCTGTCTGTGACGGGGCCAGTCCCTGCTGCGTGACTGACAGTAGCGGCGACTGTGTCCCTGTCTGGGGTGGGACCTGTTTCCTGCCGCATGACTGACAGCGACGGCGGCTGTGTCCTGTCTGGGACTGGGTCAGTCCCTGCCGCATGACTGACGGTGACAGCGGCTGTGTTCTGTCTGGGGTGGGACCTGTTCCTGCTGCGTAACTGACAGTAGCGGCGGCTGTGTCCTGTCTGGGGTGGGACCTGTTCCTGCCGCGTGACTGACAGCAGCCGGCAACAGTGTCCTGTCTGGGGCGGGGCCTGCCCCCGCTGCAAGGCGGCTGACAATAGCGGATGTTGATCGGACCGGCGCGACCCACCCAGCTTCGACCTCCGGCACCAGCGGGGAGATCCGGGCTGATTTCAGCGAAACCAGGATGCCACGGGTGCTGATCTTCGAAACGGGGCTTCTGGCTAGCTGCGGTTTGCTTTTGTAATCGCTCGCTGTGACATTCCCGGCTTTAAGCGGCCGGCTGAAATTGGTGCCCATGCAGCTAATAATAGTCATCTGATGCGGCCTCCCAGCGGGAGCCTCACAGCGACGCGGTGATCATGGCAGGTCGTGTTTCACCCCCAGAGGTGACCGCAGCCACGAGCCGCTGGCGCCACCATCAGACTGCTCTGTTGATGCCTACCGGGCAGAATGTTTGTGGCGCCTTGCCGGCGCGGCGGCCTGGTGGCCGCAGGTGGCTGCCGAGCAGCGGGACAGCGAGCGGTGTTATTGATGGGGCCCGCGGCGGCTGCAACTGAAAAACGTCGCGCTTTGATCTGTTGAGAACTCTCATCATACTTGATGCTTTCGCTGCTTTTTTCGTTATCGCTATCGGTATTTGGTAGCGGTATATCCGTACTTTATTATCAGTGATTGCGGAGCATTTTCGTCGCAAGGAGTAGCGTTACCGGCTTTCCACAAAGTAAAGATACGGGACATATACGGTGTAATGTTGTATATGGCAAACTATACGGCGGCTGGTTTGTACAACGGCAGTGTCGATCGCCGCTGAAAGCCTGAAGGGCAGGTGTAGATCGTAAAGAAGAGCCCTATGGGACCCCAGTACCTTTGCTTGGGAAATGAATATGGAATTTTTACATTTATTACCACCTGCTCTTGAAGCCTTGGTTTTGAGAAGCGACAGAGCCAGTTGCCAAGGCGTGGCCCCAGCGTGCCCCTGGACCACGGGGGAGCGAGCGCCGTGCCGGCGGCGGCCGTGTCCGTCCCATGGTCTCTCCGTCGGCGGCGCCGGCCGTCCTCGGGCAGGAGTGATCGGGCGCCGCCGGCCGTCCCCGGGCAGGGGTGATCGGCAGCGCCGGCTTCCTCGGGCAGGGGTGATCGGCGGCGCTGGCCGTCCCCGGGCAGGGGGCATGCGGCGGCCGCCGGTGGCGCGGTTGGAGCGCGGCCACCCGGTGTCGCCGTCGCCAGCCCGAAATAGCCGGGACGACCCGCGGCGGCCAGAGTGGCCGCGAACCGTCGCCGAGGCTGCAGCCGCTGACCACCGGCCGCGCGCGCTGTGCGGGGAGCGTCGGCCACGGCCGGCGAGCTGAGTTCGCACCGCAGGTCATGCTGACCACGCGCAGGAGCGCGGTCCGGGCGCGGGCGCACGTGCTGCACGCGCCTGCTGTCGTCCTCCTGACTCGGTAACGTTGCCCGGCCGAGGTGGTCTGACCAGTGCGGGCCGCATCACTGCCTCCGCCGCTCCAGGGGCGCTGTCCGTGTGGCCTTTGGCTTGCCCCGCCCGCCTGTCGCTCTGATTTACCGCCGACCACCAAGTGCCGCTGACCGGAAGCCAAGGCCCCGCTCTATTGGACCGCCCCCAAGAGCTCCTGGCCACCGGCTCTGAGAATACTTGCCGACCGGGAGCGTTCAGCGTCGCTTCTGCCCTTGAGCCGGCCCGGCGTCCCGCCTCCGTGACCGCCGCGGTTCTTCGTGCGGTGCTCTGGCCGTGTGCTCCGACCGGTGCTCGGCGCTCAGTGCTCCGGCCGCCGGGGTGCTCATCGCAGGTCGTGGCGAGCGCGGCCAGCCGGCATGCCTCGCGTCTGGGAACTGCTCTCGTACCTGCGGGGGGCGACGCGGACCCCTCGGACTCGGAGGGCAAGCTGCACGACCTGTGAGTGAGCCCTGTGACGGCTGGAGGCCTGCCCGGCCGCCTCCGTCCCGCACCGTCTGTCGCCGGGTCAAGTGTGCTCCTCCCCAGCCGGCCCGGGCGCGACGGGCTGGCTTTGTTCCCCCACCCCTCCAACCCGTCCGTGTAGAATAGGAACTGACCCGGCAACGAAGTCTGCCGCCGTGTCTCCGTCGTGGTTATCTCGGCTCGGTTATTGTCCCGAGCCCGCAGACGTAAACAGCGCGAGAAATACGCCAACGGAGGTGGTGCATTGTCCAGTTCGTGGGGGCTGCGGGAGGGGGGGGGGGGAGGGCGGCAGAAGCCATTTCAGCCAACTGGCCGCGAGCAGTCAAATGTTGTCCCAAATTGGTATACAGTCGTGCGGGTTCTCTCACTGGTCACATCTTGAGGGTCCTAAAAATAAAGGCTCATCGAAACCGCGCTATAGGTAACGAATTACAGCACGTATTCCTAAAGGCTTGGCCCCATTCCACAACCATTTTCTTACGCTTAATTAATGGATTCACGCATCTGAGCCCCATAAATTGCCAGTGGTGACAAGACTGAGCGGTTCTGAGCTTTGCAAATGTCCTGAGCCTGTTGCCACTGTTGCTTTTTGTCCGGAGCGCAGCAACTCAGCCAGTAAATGGGTTTCACGGTGCTAAATCTGATCACCGCTAAACCCACAAATGAGCTAGCGAAATCAAACAGCAAAACAAGCGTTAAACCAGTTTTATATCTCAAATAAAGGGATAAGTCATGGAGGGCTTCGTGATTCGTTTCAGCGGTCACTTATGTCGTTTCACTTCGTTTTCCATGTGCTCCTCTTTGGCCATGTTAGATTAGCTATTCCACGGCCCTTAAAACTCGGTCGGCTCCACGATAACTATGCACCTATCTGAGCGTCGGAAGGACCAATGCGCTCGGCAGTCATTGCATTTTATAATGACGGGCTTTATTTAACAAACTGTATGCACCAGATACCGCCATGAGTGCATGTTTGGAACATATTTCCTGAGGGTTTCCGAAGGAGCTGTTGTTGAAGGATCTGTTGGTCACAGCGGTGCTGCTGTTACATAGTGCACCCCAGCCTCATGTCTGAAAGAGGTGCTGCCACCCACCGAACGTCGTCCCGTATGGAGTACTTCCAGCAACGTTCAGTCTTTACATGGGATGTAGAAACGGTACGCGTCGACATGACACGAACAAACTGTTTGACACCGCGAGACCACATGGGGAGGTCAGTAGGCTCCACGCTCCGTTGTTCCGCGGGAATGGTTTGTCTGAGAGACCGGAGGCTCCGTAGCTAACCTGCTGAGCACACCCCGAGTCGGCACAGAGAGTGCACGACGGTCTTTTGGGCTCCGTGTCACAGCCACACGGAACGGGAGTCGCTTAAGAAGGAACTGCCGGCGCCACGGGCCGCGTCTTGCCGACGAGGGGGATGGCCGGTTGAACTGCCATCTCACAAATCTCCACGGACGTTTGACTGTGTTTTTGTCTGTGAGCGTTGTCCGCGCACAACTATAGGCACGTGCGCACACCATGCGAACTTTGTTGTAAAAAACGTGATCTAGCCGTTTGCGTGCGAACGAATGATAATGGCGACTAGAACGGGCCGTGTACAAAATGTTTAACTTTCCATTAAAATTTCTCTGCGACGTTGCGGGTCAGACTTTTGCTCATCTCACATGTGGTGTTGAGTCTTGAGCGGTGCGGCCTTTTGAAATACTGTCACCTCTCACTGACACTTGGGACATGCCATGCCGTTATGTCGGTGCTTCCACTGACTGTGTGGACAGCTGCAGTGTTCGGGGCTGCTAACACCGATGCGTATGTGTTCGTCCACGAACATCGCCGCCGCAATTACAAGCGCGTGTGACTCCGCCCACTGTCTCAGCTCTCGCGCTGTGTTCCAGACGGGAGACTCCGGTCCAGGAGACCGCGCACCGGCGCGAACTCGACGACCTGCATGCGAAAGTGGCCAATCAGAAGCAGGAGATTCTCGACTTGACCAATGAGCTGCTGGCGTGCCGCGGGCAGCAGGAGCAAGCCAGCTCCCGGCTGACCGCCCAGCTGGCCGACTGTGAGCGCATGCGCAGTGACCTGGCCGAGGCGCACGATGACCTGCTGGAACGCGACCGGCAGCTGCTGCAGGGGGCGCGCAGCAGCTGCGCAGCCGGCAGGCGCAGCTGGAAGGTGAGGCGGGGCTGCCTGGCGACGGCCGTCGGGCCATGCGTCGTGCCGTGACAGACCGTGGTGCGTGTGTCAGGCCGTGCAGCTCGTGTGTGTGTGTGTCATATCGTGAATGGTGGGGGTGCGTGTGTTGGGCCGTGACAGGTTGGGGGTGCATGTGTCGGGCCGTGGCAGGTGAGGTGAGTGTGGTCGGGCCGTGACAGGTGGAGGTGCGTGTGTCGGGCCGTGACAGGTGGAGGTGTGGTGTGTGTCGGGCCGTGACAGGTAGGGTGCGTGTGTCGGGCCCGTGACAGGTGGGGGTGCGTTTGTCTGGCCGTGACAAGCAGGGGTGCGTGTGCTACCCGGACGTGTCTCTACATGTCACTGGGCGCGCCAACCGGCCAGACGCGTCGTGCCGGGAATAGAACAGCCCAGCGGCTGCACAACCGCGCCATCTCCAGATTCTCGTCGCGCAAGCAGACGGGAATGTCTCCCTCTGATTCACTGGCATGCGTATTTCTACCGCGAGACGTGTTTGGATTCGTGCTGCAGCTACCCCACCCCGCAGTCCCATGCGCTGAGGAACACAGGCCGCTTGGCAGCATGACACGGTTGTCTGACGGAGTCGGCGTTATCCCGCCGGCACGTGCTCACTTGGCAGCTGCGTGCAGCGGTCATGCCCCGGTGAACGGAGCCTGTTCCGACCCGGCCGCGGGCGTCAGGTTCCCCCAGACGCCGTCCTCATTCCTGGCATCGCGCTGCTCAGCTGACTGCACGGGCCACTGCTTTGGGGACTGCGCGGCTTGTAGCTTGTCCCGACGTCAACACCCTGTTTGGCCGAAACGAAATACAGAGTAGAGCGTACGGAGCGCGACCTGCAGCTGCCGGTCGCGAAGTTAGAGCGATACTCAGCCTCTGAATTTAGCGAAAATTACTGTGTATTACTTAACAGCCGAGCATCTGACGCAAATACTGCTGCGATTTTACGTTCGACACCGCATCCAGTGCGAAGTGGTAAGGAATGTGTCCGTCCCACGAGACAGGCAGCGGCCAGCGAGGCCGCGGAAATGGCCGGTGGCACCTACTGCAACCTCAGCCTATTTATTAGGCACTTTTACGAGACTCACCACCTACAAAGATAGGGACAGCGCTTTGTCATGAAAGCAAACACAGGGCTCGCGCAGAGTTAGCATACATATTCTGCAGAAGGAAGTGCGATAGTTTTGGGTGTCCATGTTTTTACAGTCCCAGAATTGATTTCGACAGTGGAGTGAGCCATTTTCTAGGCTTTCGGTCTCAGTTATGCTTTTGTACCTGTATTGTTTGTGTATGTTCTCGAAGCCCCTCTTGGAAAGTTCCTGCAGCAAAAACAAAACAAAAACACGGCCTCCGTGAGCCACCTATCATTACATGTCATCAGTTTGCATTTGCCTGCAAAAATAAGGGATGCCGGCCGACCGAGGCGCGCTACGTGGTGAAACGTATCAATTGGTTGACACGATGTGAAGGCGTTTCAAAATTCACGGATTTCACCGTGCAATACACCACCATAGGCCCTGTGGCATGACTTGCAATACGGATCCAAAGGTGAGCAGTGCCACCACCACACGTCCGGGAGCGTGACGTGCAACACCGATCCAAAGGTGAACGGTGCCGCGCCGATCTCTGTTTTAGTTAGCGACCCGGTCAATAAACAGCGCCCCCGTGCGGCCGACGCGCAGCCCAAGAGCAATATTTAGCGATCAGACGGCGTGGGAAGCAGCCGACGACCTCCGCCAGGCTCGTCGCAACCTGCTCGGAGACAGAGGAGTCTGAGTCGGGTCGGCGACCAGGAGGCCTGGCCCTGGCGCTGGCCGATGCCCCAGGCTCGCCTCGTGCCTAGGGAGGCTTGGCTCTGGCGCCGGCCGCTGCCCGAGTCTCGTCCCGTGCCGCATCGCATTGCCCGGCGGCGGCCGAGTCGGCGCGGCGCGTGTCTGACAGCCGGCTAAGTGCGTTCGGAGCGGCGCCAGCTCGTCAGTGGGCCGGGGGGCGCCAGCCCGTCATTGCGGCCGCCACGCTCTGACGTCGTGTTTACGCACGCGTGCGGCGCCGCAGCCGGCGCCAGGCAGCAGCCGGCGGCGAACCAGTGTGGAGGTGTGCGCGCGGCTGTGTCGGGCGGCGCCGTGAGCTCGTGTGGGATCGGCTCAGGCAGCTGTCCACGCGGCGGCCAGCCGAACACGAGGTGCTCTCGACTCCCTCTGAGGGATCGCACACACAGGAGAAAAGGCTTCGCATTTAGGTATGCACATTTCCAGTGGAGTTGGTTGAACTTGCCACATGGAAACTTGGTTGGCTTCGGTGCATGAAGTTTCACGTGCATGACATTTTTCTACCGATGCATTGGGGCGTTTGTCCTTTGACGACTGGATGGTGGATACACAAATATAAGCCTTGGTTGTACGGTGGCTATACTCGTAAGGCCAGAAATGTCAATGGCTGAGCTTCATAGCAAACTAATGCCCCACAAATCTGAAAAATCCGGTTTTCATATATATATATATATATATATATATATATATATATATATATATATATATATATATATATATATTTATATATGTATATAGATTGACATATATATATGTATATATATATATATATAAATATATATATACATACATATATGTATATATACAGGTAGGTAGGCAGCCGTCTTGCAGTCACTGCATAGCGTCTCGCGATGTTGTAATTGCTACTTAACTGAGGGAACTCGTTTCTAGATGCTCGCACACTAAGATCCTTCTTGCTTGCCACGTTTTTTTCCACTGCCTTTCATCTTTTTTGTCGATTCTAAAACATACAAGGAGAGGGTATTAAAAGCACGGATGAGATGAAAGATGTACATATGGGCCATGTTTATATATAAAGATGCGTGCATTGCATGAAGCGTGCATATAATGCAAAAATTTGACCACAAACAACTTTTGAGTGCCGACTCCATCACGATTTCTCAAAACCATGGTAATTTTCTTGTATGAGTGAGGTCACAGGCCAGGTGTGTTTTAATTGGGCTATAGCAAAATTTTCAGCGCAAGTGGCTGGACCTGGCTCAGCCCAGTCGCCACGCTTTTTGGAAGCCAATATACCTTTGCAACTACTAACTGCAAACTCATACAGTTTCCGCAATAGGATGTGCAATGCTAAAAAGTGGCGATTGCTCGAACTTTCTAAAAAGCTTTTTAATCGGATGAATACCTGTAGCATTGCAATTTCACCACGATTTCATCCCCCCCATCTAATGAAAAAATCCAGCTTTGCAATGAAAACAGGCAGAACATTTCAAAGTTGCTAACAAGCTAGACAGCACGGGCGTGACCAGATCCGGATTATTGACGACGCCATGCGACAGCGGTAGGAGACTAATCGATACTGGCCGACGAAAAAACACAATCGCATCGAAAAGTACGCATCGATTGGTGCAGATGGCATAAGCTCCTTTGCGAAAGCCATGAATCTATGTTCTGTTTCGGTTCGGGCCTTTTAAGGACTGATGTTACATCGCAGCAACCAGAGCAGATGAGGACGTGAAACTAATGCCATATCGTGGGCGTTTATACCGGATACAATCCGCTGACAGATCTCACAACTGTCCCGTCAAAACTGTCCCTGTCAAAGCAGTCAAAACTATCTGGTCAGGCAACCTGACAGCGACATTCGAATGTCTGATGGCCAAGGTTTCTGCTCCAAAGTTGATTATCTGTGCATAAGCTGCTTATTATCGCATATGAGTTTTGTCTAAAATTAAGCGTCACCAATAATTAACGTTACCGACAATTTATAGCAGCACCAACACCGTTGTTGGAAACACCTAGTTGCATCAGTCGCATTATGTAATAGATACTCCATCGCTAGATCTGCTGAAGTGCGGCGCTTGGATAGGCCTCGGTTCCTGACACGATGTGCTGACAGGACCGGGGCTCTTGGCGGTTTTCTTGACATCATTCCGCATTAGATCTTGGCTCTTGCTGGATCATCGGCATATTTCCAGTAGGGATCTTGTTTCGTTTCTAGCAGACTGGACCTTGGCTCTTGCCGGATTCCTCAGTGAAATGTCGGGTTTGGCATAGGCTCTTGCTGGATCCCGGTCCATATTTAAGGTTGGATTTTTTTTTTACCAAATCGGCTTAGTGCCAGACTGGATCGTGCTTCTGCACGACACCAGACTTCCCTTGCACGACATCAGACTGGCTTCTGGCTTCTTCTCTGTTTTGGAAACAGGAACCAAGAGCCGGTCCCGAGAAGAGCGCTATAACCAGGGCCATGTCTTTCATAAACATCTAAATATATAAACCTTAATCGATTGTTTTCTTCTTGAGCAAATGGTGTCCTTTCGACGCAATGTTCGTATGTTACTGATGACGTAGGATGTTCATGGAAGTTTGTTGCACGTTTAAGAGGAGGTGATCAACATTGTCTGTGCTGATGACTTGGTTGCACGGCGTCTGTTACTGGGTGAGATATCTGGCACTGTCCGCGGGCCGAAGAGCGCCGGCGTGCATGTCACACATGTATATCGTAAGATGTGTATGCCAAAAGCCACCGGTGCAGCCGCCTGTTTGGGGAATCATAAATAAACCTTCCCAGCCGGTGGTAAGTGACGATTGGCTACTGCCGCGTGGGCCCCGCAGCCAGGTAGTCGCAGACTAAAGCCACCAATTTTGCAGGGAAGTGTGTTGAGCTTCCAACATGAGGCACCATATTTGCCCCCGTGAGAGAAATGCGTAAAAGTGTTGTTACTAGGGGTGGTGCAGCGCGAGACATGTGGTGACTGGCCCTACCGATGGGCAAGTGGTGGGGGATGAAGAAAGCAAGAGTGTGTTTTGCTTCCTTAGATTTTGGAATGCTCTCTTTACCCAGGCGAAAAAATTTGTGTCACCGTCCCTGTTCATTGATGCAGGTTCGTCGTGGTTTCGTGTTACGTGTTACAAACAGGCACCTTACAACTGATCATGTTAATGTGTGTTTCAAAAACGCAGCTGACACCATCCTGTGCTCGCGTGGAGTGTATTCGTGCTTTGCAGTGGTTGACTCGGTTCTGGCCTTGTACACGGTGTTAGTGTTATATCTGTGGGTATCGCAAAGGCTGGCCTGGTGGTAGCAGTGCCGGTGAGCTGCAGCAAATGACTTGGTTCCAGTCGTGTGTTTGTGCGTGTGCTGCAGATGCACAGCTTGAGCTGAACCAGAAGAACTCGGAGCTGGTGCGGACGGCTGAGCGTCTGCGGAAGCTGGAGACGAGCGAGACCAGCGCCCGGACAGAGGCCGACCGGCTGGCGCAGCAGCTGACCGCACAAAACAGTACGTCGGCACCACAGCTGAGCAAACAACTGAGACATTCCGATCATTTTACACACTGCTTATTTTGCCCTGAATAATCAAAGCGCATAGTTTGCTTGGTGGTTGTATAATAGTCCCGTTGTTCCACATATTTTGCTCATCACAGAGGATTGTTTGGACTCGGAAGCTTTCATTGATGATTTCACATTTCTTCATTCGATATCCAGTTATCCAGCTCGGCCCCCCCCCCCGCTCAAGTTTTAGAGAAGGAGTCAAGTTTTTCTGGTTTTATTTACACCGATGTTTTAAAGCCCAATTAGGTGCTGGCATCTTGTACTTTTTAAATGATACTATTCATCATAAAGCATTAAAAAGTACTTTGACACCCCGACTGAATGCGACACATATAGGGGATCAATTTGGGGTCAATTTGCCGGATAGGGGGTCAATTTGCCGAGCCTGAAAAACAAGAGAGTCAGATCCACAGGGCAAGTGGGCTTATAGATGAAATCACTTGTTTTAAATTTTGAGGGACCTTTAGATCAAATAAAGTCAAACAGGTCATACTCCCGTTCGGTGCCCGGGGTGCCCTCAGACCCCATGTAGCCATCTTTAATCCAGATGCCTCTACTAAGTAAAAGGTCACTGGTGTACATTTCAGGCCAGTGACCTTATTCAGCATTTAGGTCATGGTAGCCATACGCATAAGAAATTGATTTATTTTGAATTGAAATGGACGTTAGGGATTACTTGAAGCGATGTGTTCCTAAAGAGCGAAACTTTGATTGGAGTCGGTTTTGGTCAGTGACCGTTCTGAACTTTATTATATTGAAATAAGATGTCTTCTTGATATTCCTGCGACAGAGAATCAAAACAAGCATCAAAAGCTACCACATAAGTCACGTTCCCAGTACAAAACAGTTTGGCTTTGACCTCAGCCTGACCTTTATACCTGACTCAACGTTCATGGAGACGGTCGTAATCCTGCTAACACCTCGTCGTTGCACCAGACTGAACGATTCCCGGCGGATTGTCTTCACTGCCAGCTGTGGCCTGACTTTTATCTGTCACGGGTCAATGATGTGACAAGACAAACACCAAATGTAAGAGTCGAGTCGAGTCAAGAATCAAGTCGAGAATCATGTGCTCCTGACCTTGAACGCTGCATGACCAGTGAAACGGCAGAATTTGAATGGCGTGATTATGGCGCCATAGATGCCTGGGTGACCTTGAAAAGTCTGCACGAAATAGTCTGCGCATCTTACGCGGGCGTGTAGCCCAGAGACTAGAGGGCCTTAGGTCTTAGCAGGGTAGGACTGTGAACTGCACCGAATGATCTAAAAGATGTTCATTTCGGTTCAAAACCTAATAAATACATGAAAGATTCCCTTATCTCGTACTCCACATCGATTTCAGAGGCATTGTGCACTTTGGGCACAGGCCATGCCAGTTGAAGGACCTATTAGGGTTGTAATTAGGCCATGTCGGACCAAACGCTGTTAAAGATGCATTGGTAAATATGGTGCTACGTTGTGGTTACACTTCTGTGTATTAATTTTTTCTACACAATGTTTTCAATGCCTTATCTCCAAATAATAATTTAATATTGTCCGAGGTCAATGGCACTAAATTAACCTTTGCTTCCGTTTTCAAGTGACATGCTTTTCGGTTTCGTTAAGTGTTAGTTTTGTCCATCCCGTAAGTGCGAAGATTGACAGCCGATGACAGCTTGACAGCCCCAGCATGACTCCATGAATACGTACAGTCGACTCAAAAAAGTATTTCATGAGCTGGCATGCGTTGTGCTATACATGGGCTCCCAGGTAACCTGATCTCGCGTCACTTAACTATGTGGATGTTTCTCACACTGGGAGTTTTAAATCTTGTCAACGCCATGTAGTCAACCAATACATTTGCGTGATGTTGCGATGTGTAAATGCTCCTTTAGGGATACACTAATGATAGAGTAATGAGTTCTAGGGCCGGAAGCGTCACGCCTAAAATAGCTTCACCCCTCCCGACGGGCGACCCTTCACACCCTCGTACGACAAGGGGGGGGGGGCAGACGGCCTGACTGAGACATCTTATGATGTTCGTAATTTAAACAAAAAGTGATTCAACAAGAGCCAGTGTGTTTCTTGATTTCTTTTGGCTTTGAAAATTTCCGTTTTTTGGTCTGGGTCAGCTGAGTGATTTCTCAGGTCATGAAATATTTACTAGGGCCGAAATATTAAGTGAAGTGCCTGGCGCGTCGGGCCAGCACCGTGCACCTACGCTCCATGAGTCGCAAAGCGAGTTAATATATGAATCGTCACTACCACAGCGCGCCTGTGCCAACTACGGCACAAAAGGTGCCTGTCGGGCATGACTTGCTTTATATTTCTCTGACCTGACGTACCCTTGACTCAGGAAATCCACTACGACTGGTCGCAATGTTCTTACAATGGTATGAGTATGGTTAATTATAATACAGCATGCGTGCAAGTGTAAATATTAAATATTACATATCAAAGATAAATAGGCATGTTTGGCCCATCTTGACCTCTAACGTCATGATCCCTCACCAAGATACGTAATTAGGTGTGACATTTCAATATCGACTGCATTTTAAAACAAAATATAGCATGTTCCAGTTGCTATCAAGTGGATATTAAAATGCAGACTTAGCACAAAATCTAACCGACATGACCTTCACGAAAAGGTCTAGATCATGACTTATTGAGAGAAAATGATGAAAGCCTGACAGAAGGAGTAAACATGTCATAACCTCAGCTTTTTTAAAGATCGGTCCTCCATTAGCTTACGGTTGCCGCGCTATTAAAAACCTTGTGGGGTGGAGGCGGGTCAGCCCCCGTCATCGGACGAGGCTTAATGCACATTTAATATATTTAGACATTTTAGACATCGTGTAACAGCTGTTTGTAGCTGTTCATATTTGCGCGATGGCAACTTTATTTTCGAAGCGTTGCCCATGTGATGTTTGCTCAGTCTGTCTTCAGCCTCGCACAAATTTAGCCGATTTGTTGACTGGCGCTTCTATCGGATCTGTCAAACTCTATCCGCTAGCTCCTCGCCTCCTTCGAATAAGACAGCCCGTGGGCGAGGGCCAGCATGTAAACCGGACTCGATAGCGAGGCCGTATGATTGGTCAGACATCGCTGTACTCGATGGGCCACAAGTGGATACGTTTCATAAACATCACCATCGATGTTGAAGCCGAGTGGGAGAGGACACCGAGAAAGCTCAGTGCATTACGTCAGTGTATGACAAACGACTGGCTAAACATCCTCGAACACCCCATATGTTCGGTGAGGAAGGGGGGGGGGGGCGGAACCTCCAAAACACTGATTTGCCCTCGTTTTGCTCGAGTCCTGTGCCGCAGGTGAACGAGTGTTGATGAGCGGGTTCCGTGCTTCTAGCGTTGCCCCCGTCGGTTCGTGCAGGCGCGTTGCCCAGACACGTCTGAAGTCCTCGGTACGTGTCCACAGAGCAGCTGACGCAGCTGGAGACCCAGCTGGCCACGGCCAAGCTGGCGGTGGCGGCGGCTGCCGCTGCGCCGCCGCCACCGCCACCACCACCACCACCGCCGCCGCAGCCTCCTGCAGCGCCGGCGGTAAACTCTGCGCAGGTGGCGGCGCTCCAGGTCGAACTGAGCACCGTGCGCGAGAACCTGCGCCTGTCCGAGCAGCAGCGCATGCAGGAGATCAGAATGATTCAGGAGGTGAGAAAGGTAGGCGCGTGTCCGACCTCGCGTGGCAGTCCGTCTCCCGGGGGTGACTAACAGGCACGGAGTGCAGCACCGGCCACGCGGCGGGCCCCGACGCTTTGGCTGCTGTGACGTCATTGGGAATAGCCCCACGTTATGCCGGATGCCAGCCGCCGGCGAAAGGTGGGGTCGAGCCGCCTGGCGAGACGGAATCAGACGCATTTTTTTCGCAGAGAGACCGGTCGTTGTTGCACGCTTGCGTTGTCCTGTCTGTCCCGTGTGTCTTTAAATTTGCGGTTGTAACCCTAGGCTCCAGTTGTTTTTATCCATAGCTTAGTGAACGTTTTGTATAACCGGAACGAGATCACCGTATGCCTTTTCATGAACCTTGGAAAAAGCCATGCATGCGTTTGGTTATATGCTGTTCTGGCAGTTCTATCCGTCTATCATCCTATCAAAATTCATATTTGCAAGATAAATTTGGTCTTCTAAAGCATTTTCTAACCCAAGTTTTTACAGCGAAAGTTATTTATGCCATAGGGCTGTTTTGCAATCCCAGAAACAACGAAAACGGAAATTTGTTGGCCTCATTTGGTGCCGTGTTACTGTCAAAACTTACGAACATATCAATCGTATAGAGCAAACGGGCTGCAAAAAACACACTTCATGAGTTATGATATACCATGGGCCCAATCTATTCATGCCTTGAACCCAACGTTTTTATGTTCTTATCCACACCATTTCAGCAAGCCTGCGATTTGGACCCCACCAAGCATGGATTGGACCACTTTGACGCCAATTCCCTCCAGTGTTACTGATTAGATCAGTTCGCGTAATTTAACGTCAACAGGGGGACAGCAATGATCATTGCTGTTTCCCCTGTAATGGACATCTACATCAATGTAGATGGCCATCATATGCGTGATCTGTTAAATGACGCACTAGATGAAGGCTGCTGTACTCCAAGCCTCAGCAGACACGTGAGATGTGGTTGAGCAGTATTGCCCCCAGTTAGTAGAGTATTTGCACTCATTACGTGACGTGTTTGTAGAGCTGCCGCCTTGGCCGGATATCTACAAATTGTTGTGCACCATAATGGGTAGCAGGCGCACGTGCTGTTTCTTTGCGCTCCCTGCTTTCTAGGCTCGCCATTACATAGATACGTAGTTGAACTAGTCGGTCTGCTGATGGTGTATCCTCATTACATAGGGGACAGAACCTCTGACATTGAAGACGGCAACTTCTGTCCATTCGAACCCGTTTTCGACCCCACTGGTATCTCTCTCACGTGCCCTCGGTGTCGACAACCACCCTGATCCGGTTCACCAGTCTCTGACGCTGCTGACTCACCTATGACCCCACAAATTCACTGCCACGAGCTTTGCCTTTCCAACTGCTTAGTCTCTGAATTCCTGTGGGCCCCCTCCCAGGTTCAACCAACCAGCCTCTAACTTCCCATGATCCATCCCTCGCCCAGATAACCCGTCACGACCCGTTCGTGACAAATTGGGTCTGTTAGTCACTGGACCCCAGATCAAACTGACGTGTTCCTGAGAAGCCAGGACCCGGCCCCTGACAGTGGGTGTGTGACGCGTGCTAACCGGAGCACTACAGCATCAGGACCGACTCCTGATCAGCCGCCGGGACCAGCCCCTGACCAGCCGTGATGAACCGTTAGGACCAGGTCCTGACAGTGACATGTGACTGGCGCTGACCGAGGCTCCGCGGCGTCAGGCGCTGGAGGAGGCCCTTCAGGAGAACGCCGATCTGGAGAGCCGCTACCGACGCGACGTCGAGCAGCTGAAGACGGTGACGGCAGAGCGCGAGCAGCAGCTGATGGAGGACGCCGAGGCGCGCCTGCGTGAAATGCAGCGCGACTGGAAGCGGCGGCTGGACGAGCGCGAGCGGGCGGCGGAGGTGGGTGCGGCGGCCCTGGGTGCGGCGGCTGACCGTCCCGAGAGCGGGCACAGAGGTGGGTGCGGCGGCCGACCGTTCCGGGAGCGGGCGCAGAGGTGGGCGCGGCGGCCAACCGTCCCGAGAGCGGGCGGCAGAGGTGGGTGCGGCGGCCGACCGTCCCGAGAGTGTTGCAGCACTGGTCACCCCTCATATTGTGCTCAGCAGTTGTATGTCAGAGCCGGTGCATACTGCGGATCGTGACGGCTCGAAGTGGCCCCGGCGGTGAGATGTTTTGAAATGTATCCCCTCCTGAGCAGGCTTGATCTAAAAGCAGTCGAATGCTGCCCTCATCGTTCAAACCCTCCACCTATAACGATTTATTGACTGTCGAAGTGCACTTTTGAACGGCCATCATGTTCGCAGACGTCTTACTGGACGCCACGCGAGTCTTGTTTTTCATCAGGATCGCCGTGTGATCTGCCACATAGTCATAAAGTCACCCAGGCCGCACGGTCACACCCGACACAGTCACGCAATGTCGGGTGTAGCCGCGCGGCCTGGGGTGACTGTGTGACTATGTCAGGTGTGACCGAGCGGCTTTGGTGGCCGTATGACTACCGGGTATGACCGGACGCCTGGGTGACTGTAACTATTTCGGGTGTGACCATGCAAACCTGGGGTGACTGTGTTACTGTGTCGAGTGTCACTGTGCGGCCTGGGTGACTGCGTGACTGTGCGGCCTAAGTGACTGTGTGACTGTGTCGTGTGTGGCCGTGCGACCTGGTGGTGTCCGCCGGCGATCGGGCCACCTGACGCTCCACTGACGCCTGCCCGGTGGGCCTGGTGTGTGTCCGCCGGCGGTCGGGCCACCCGACGCTCCACTGACGGCCTGCCGGTGGCCTGATGGGTGTTCGCCGGCGGTCGGGGCCACCCGACGCTCCACTGACGCCTGCCCGGTGGCCTGATGGTGTCCGCCGGCGGTCGGGCCACCCGACGCTCCACTGACGCCTGCCCGGTGGCCTGCTTCTCCCAGGAGCGGACCGCCGCCGTCCGACAGGCGGTTGAGGTCGAGCTGCAGGCGGAGCTGACCGCCCTCAGCGACCAGCGCGCCGTCGTCGAGCAGAAGGCGGGCGAGGTAAGCCCGTCAACCGACCTAGCCGCTCGGGGAACTGTCACCAGATATTTGGTTGCACGGCTCGTTTGCCCGGATGGCGTTGGAGTCGGGTCTGCTGCTACAAGTGGTTTGCTGTGTGGTCACCGATCGCGACATCGAAAATGTCCGGTATTCAAAATCTGGAACCTCTTCTCTCCAGCCTACCAGTCAGAGTACTTAACATATGTTATGGTACTGACGGAAAATGACTAGTGAGATGGCCAAATGACACCATGGACACAAAGCCCCTTCGTATATGTCATGAGATTTGAGTGCTACATCTATCCACAGTGTTAAGTTAAGTTACATCCCATGTGACTGATACAGTTCACATTCGAAGAGAGCCCATTGCTCAAACGTTCCGTTGCAACCACGCGTCGATGTTACCCATCACCACGGGGACATGCGCTGCGTCATAGTTCTGTTTTCGCTCTCCCCACGTGTTCACAGTCCTGAGGTTTCGCGAGAGTGTTATGCCCGTGGCGTTGGCAGAGAGCCATGAATCACAACGCTTCGGTTACCAAGATTTTCTGCCGTTGGACAAACAAACACGATGCTCTGTGGTGTGGTTGGCTAAGGCCTCTTACTGCGCTGTGTCTTATCTGGAAAAACGAATCATTTTCCGCGCGCCAGCGGGGTGCTTATTCGATAAATGCTTTATGCTTGGACAAAGGTGCAAGCGGAACACTTCGGATGTGATGGCTTACCATTCCTTCCAGGGTAGGCTTAGTTTAGCTTTAGACGAACATTGCTTAATAATCCTTTACACGAACTATTCACCCGGCTCTTGGCCATGTAACATACCTTACACACGCTATTCTTGGCAAACAAGCCTATCTGCCTGACCCCTGCAACACTCAGTTCGGAACCCGGTTCATCATTGGCGTCTCTCTCGTGAAACCTATGACGTCTGATGACGTCAAATCACACCTTCATCTCCGTACCCGGCCTATCAAAGCGACGGCTGCTACCAGCGGCTTGGCACGGCTCCACATCTGTCCGTCTGCGCAGGTAGTTTCTCTTGGCGCCGGTGCCGCCCCGCAGCAGCAGCTGTGATAAACCGCGCCGGTCCCTGTGTAAATTGAACACACACCAAGATCAGCTAGTCGCCTGCGTTTTCGAAGCGATGAGACAAACACGCCGCCCTGCGCCGCGCGCGTGCTCGCCGGATGTTTTGAGGGTCGGCGGGCGGGCGGGCGGAGGGTGGGGGTGGGGGGCGGGGTGGGGGAGACACACGGAAAGGTTGGCAGCGATGCATCGGCGGTAGCTGAACTTGACCTACGCTATGATCCTGTTGCGGTAGTGTCGTGTGTCAGACAACTCTCTTGTCCAATAATAACCGGATAAACTAATTCGGCGGCTGTCATTCGTATGTACGTCACAGCCGAGCTGCGATTGTCACATGACATTCCTGACTTTATCTATTCGCTTGCCGCAGATTACGGATGCACAGGGAGTTTAAAATTTTGAGCTTTGCGATGCTTTGCGTTGATGAACAATTATTAACTTTACGTCGCTTTTGTTTCGCGGTGTTCTTCATCAGAAGGTCTCTCTACTCTTTATGTCTTGACGGTGCGTACCTGCTTTCGGAACCTTTCCTCCAGGCATTTGATTAAACATTTCATAAAGCCGTCTTTCGCTTGTCCCGCATCTAGGTCACTCTGTGGCCCTGAAATGGTTTCAGGCTTACAACAACGTGTTCTCTTTTAGCGATACACTGGGCGCAAAAACCCGCTGATGTTATTAATGCTACTGTCATTGTCAAACGAAATAACGAAACACCTCATGAATGTGTCGCTTTCCTTAACTCCGTCGTGACACCGTTTGTATTCCTGATGCGGTTAAATCTAAATCCTGTTTCTGTACGAACCATAAAAAATAGTCGTTGGTCTCCTAAAGTGCCCCGGTCTTGTGCATAACTTCGTCAATTTTCAAAATCAAAGGCTCGCATGTCGCATCTCATCATCTCTTGCATCTCCCAGCGTCTCGCATGATATATCTGACTGTTAACATGACTTTTTAGGCAACTTTCCAAGCACGTAGCAATAGACAAGCCCTTTTGCAAGCCGGAAAGATCGAGAACTAAGCGTGACCACTCCAAGACTAAGATTCGATGCGTTGGTCAGCGCTGGTCACTACTGCGAGCGGAACGATCTTACCTCAGCTTCTCTACCCGGCTGCACAGTGCGCCTTGAATCGATGGAAATTTGTACAAACGTTACCAGTTTTGCTTCTCGCGTTGCCGTTTCTTCGCTGACCATCTTTACCTGGGTGTCAGCAACTGTATTTATCAGTCGAACACATCACACACTGCAGTGTGTGATGCTGCTTCAAGTCGACAATGGCAGACGTAGAACTGACATTTTATATGCACACAAATCAACACGCATCCCATCGATATCCGAGGGTCGTTATCTGGCACAGAGTTGAGCGCATAGTGACGTTGCCAACTGGGACGCAGCAGTTTTGATGCCAACGACTTCCTGAAAGTAAATCCGAGGCGCTATTGGAAGGGTCTTCATCAATCACGGTTAATATTAGTGAAATTGTTAGTGATCTTTGCAAAGCTAAGGTAAGATCATTGCTAAGGTACATGTGCGTATGCGTGTGCTTGCGTACGTGCGTGCGTGTGCGTGTGTGCGTGTTGTGTGGCACATGTGAAAAATAGGCGATGAATGAGCCGTAGAACACGTCATGTACCAACTCGGACTCGGTTTGACCAGAGCTGCTGATCAGTGCAAGGCTTAGTTTTAGGTTTAGATAGTTTCTGTTGCTCGCTTGTTTTGTACATAAAAGGCCATGTTTTGGTGTTCTTTTGGTTAAACAAACTAAAGTCAAGGCCGCGATCACGTGATATCAGACGACAGGACGGTTATTGCCGGGTATCTTTCGTTGATCCCGAATTTCAGGATCAAAGGGGATGTGCAAGCCGACCGCGATCAATTATTTTATCAGTAGCGTAGGAACGGTCTGGGACTGCACGCCACAGCCAACTTAATTCTGTTCCACCACCTGTTAGCAGATCCTCGGCCAGCATGCAGTCGGGGAGCCAAAATCAACACCGTGATCAGGCTAAAGCGGTCCCCAGATCTGCTATCCCCAGCGGGCCGCAGGTCCGTGAAGGCGACGGCTTCGGAGCAGGCTGGACGCAGTGGTTCCGCTGCCGACCAACAGATGCCTCTGTGCGTCGTCGGCCAGGTGGAGCTGCTGCGCTCGTTCGAGGCGGAAGTGGTCCAGCTACGCGGACTGACACATGAGCTGATGCGCGAGCTGCGCGTCGGCAACCGCCAGGTGGAGATGGCCAAGATGCAGGAGGCGCTGGTGACCGACGAGAACCAACGGCTCAACGAGCTGGTCAGGAAGCAGACCAACACCATCAACAGCATACAGAAGGTAAGCGTGCCGGACTCGGCAGCACCATGGAGGGTGTGCGTGTCGGCCTCGGCAGCACCATGGAGACAGTGCGTGTCGGCCTCGACAGCACCATGGAGAGAGTGCGTGCCGGCCCCGGCAGCACCATGGAGAGAGTGCGTGTCGGCCTCGGCAGCACCATGGAGATAATGTGTGTCGGCCTCGGCAGCACCATGGATAGTGTGTGCGCCGGCCTCGGCAGCACCATGGAGAGAGTGCGTGTTGGCCCCGGCAGCACCATGGATAGTGTGTGCGCCGGCCTCGGCAGCACCATGGAGAGTGTGCGTGTCGGCCTCGGCAGCACCATGGAGATAATGTGTGTCGGCCTTGGCAGCACCATGGAATGTGCCTGCCGTTCTGACGTTCTTTATGGCCTAGTGGAGACACCACTGGCTTTTATTTCCGCACGTTGCAGGGTAGAGAGAAGGTGGATCGGGTGAAAACTAGCGACACAAATATGGATTAGCTTTACTTGTGTTTCGTTGGGTGCCCGTGCGTGTATTGTTTCTTAGCATGGTTGAGAGCATTGAGAGGATTTATTGAACTGACGACTTACTGTGTCACGGCGGTGGGGAATCTTGTACTGTAATATGAAGTCCTTGTGACAGATGCACAAGATATAGTGTGTTTGTCTCGTTATCCGCGAGAGAAATTGCACAATTCACGGAGCATTGGTAAGCGCTCAGGCGGGGGTGTTATTATCTATAGAAGATGTATTTTCAGTCAAATATTAACTTCTACGGCATGCTTCAACTTTGAGTACGAGGCAGCGCCAATCCGCGGGCCCACCGTTTCCGGCGCATTTTTGGGAGGTGTGGCCATGAACTGCTCGCCCAGTGCACTAGAGTGATTCGGCGACGTACACCGGTGCCAACAGGAGCTTCAGAAAGCCCGCCAGCAGTCGGAGACGGAGCTGGAGCAGACGCGCTCGTCGCTGACGGCTGAGTGGGAGGACCGGGTGCGGGCGGAGCGGAGCCGTCTCAAGACCGAGCTGGACACCCTGCATGCTGAGGAGAAACACCTGGCTGTCGAGTCGACCCGCCTCCGGCTGGAGCAGGAGATCCAGACGCTGCGGCAGGAGGGCGAGCAGCGGGTCCACAGGCTGGAGCAGGAGGTGAGCGCTGGACCCACAGGCTGGAGCAGGTGAGCACCGAGTCCATAGGCTGGAGCAGGAGGTGAGTACTGGGTCTACAGGCTGGAGCAGGAAGTGAGCGCTAGACAGGCTGGAGCAGGTGAGCACCGAGTCCATAGGCTGAAGCAGGAGGTGAGCACCGGGTCTACAGGCTTGAGCAGGAGGTGAGCACTGGACCCACAGGCTGGAGCAGGTGAGCACCGAGTCCATAGGCTGGAGCAGGAGGTGAGTACCGGGCCTACATGCGGGAGCAGGAGGCGGATACAGGGTATATAGGCTGGAGCAAGAGGCGAGTAACGGGTCCACGGCACGGGCTGCAGGAGGAGGGCAAGTTCCTGCTCAAGGGCTGAGGCGGGGAGGCGAGCACCTGTTCCACGGGCTGGGGCGGGTGGGAGAGTACCCGTTCCACAGACTGGATGAAGAAGGAGAGCACTTGTTCCACGGGCTGGGGCGGGAAGGAGAGAACCCGTTCCACGGGCTGAGGCGGGAAGAACGAGTACCTGCTCCACGGCTGATGCCAGGGGACCGGCCGAGCGAGGAAGCAGATTGTCATACATCGGTATATCTCCACCTAAGTAGCTATAGAAAGTTGTCGATTAGCCCTCTATAATAGGTATCAGATTTTGTCTTTGGAGGCTATTTAATATTCCCATGGACTAAGTTAGGAAGCTTGCAAGCTGTTGTACCTATATAATGCAAACAAACAGTCTCATTCCTGTTGTACGACCAAAACACATCCAGCATAATGCTAGAAAATGACTTTGCGTGTACCATGCTGATTATGCAGAACACTGAAGATGGGGTCTACTTAGTTGCCTTGTTACCATTGCGCTCCAGAAACATCCGTAAATGTGTTATGGTATATTGTTGCAGCTGAGTGTAGTCCGAGAAGAGCTCGTGCAAAAGGATACGACACATCAGGCTGACCCTGAGCGGACACAAAAGGAGGCGAATGGCGCTATTGACCTCCTCAAAGAAAAACTGCAACCACTGAACGATGCACCGCAGTCCGCGACGACAGTACAGTCGGTTCGGGAAGAAGACATAGGTGTGTGATGCTTGTGTGCGTGTTATTTCTAGACTACCCGGGTGGATGTCAGTGCCACGCCGGAATTCCAAGAATATAGCACATGGTGCAAGTTGCCCTTATAATAGGATGCGTCTGGTTGTTACATGTCCTTGGCGTTGATAGACCATAGCAGAGTAGAGAATCTGGCCATTCTTACAATTTCACAAATTACGTAGAGCAGCTATCTTTCCATGCTTCCTTCATCGAGCTACACGCTCCAGTTGGCAGCACGTTTGTGCAGCTTGGTCTCCCGACGGCAGACTCCTCACCGCTGGCGAACGGACGCAGCAGTGGGACGGACGAGGACGAAGAAGGAGACGATGCTGAAGAGGACGATGACTTTGACGAGGAGGACTCCGAGGCGGCCGGAGAGGAGATTCGGCGAAAGCACCGGCGAGACCTTGGTGAGGTCACCTTTATAGCCGGCCCAGCTCACCGAGCAGCCTCCAGAGATCAGCGGCGCGAATGCTAGACCTGCTTCCGGAGGCCGCGAGCAGCAGCTTAAATAAAAGGCCTACCCACGTCAGGGATCAACTGGCCGTTAGGTGTGAACTGATCCCGACACAGCGCTAACAACCGAAACGACATATCTGACTCTATCTGGGCTTCAGCGCGCTGTGAATGCGTGGTCACGTGGCGTTCATTAAAGAGTCATGTGCAACATTTTGATGTGGTATGTTGGCGAAAACCCAAGGAGTCTTTGGGACATTCACTTATAATTAACTCAGACCTGAAGAACAGCACAGCCGGCACATCCACAAGTGCTGCAAGCTGTCGTGATGCTTTGCTTAGGACACTGTCCTCGTAGTAACGCAACTACGTGATTCATAAAACTCACAAAAAACATGGAGACGACGACAGAACACTGCAAGCAACAACATAATCCAATAAGCCATTTAAAAATACCATTGAAGAAAACAGACAGACGCGGCCGCCGACACGCGTACTCTGACTTGATGAGAGTCATTGACTTGGTATGAGTCATTGAACTGATACGAGTCATTGAATTGGTATGAGTCATTGTAATTATATGAGTCATGGAACGAGTGTATCATTGAATGGGTATGAGTCATTGGATGAGTAGGATTTATTGAATGGGTATGAGTCGTTGAATAGATATGAGTCATTGAATTGACACGAGCCATTGAATTGTTGTGAGTCACTGAATCGGTATAAGTCATGGCTCACAATCTGCACGTCCCTCAAAGTGAGCTCCAGTTGTTAGCTAACGGCGCGTCCTGCGGCAGAGCACCTGCTGCGCGGCAGCCAAGACCAGCGGGCCGCCCTGCAGGCTCTGTTGCAGACATACGAGACCCGTGCGGCGCAGACCCAGCAGCAGCTGCGCATGGCACACGCCGAGAGAAACCGTCCCGATGCTCAGGTACGGTGTGATCAGGCTTGGGCACGGCTGAGCACGCCCGCTCAGGTACGGCCTGAGCACGGCTGAGCACGCTCACTCAGGTACGGTCTGATCAGGCTTGGGCACGGTGAGCACGCCCGCTCAGGTACGGTGTGAGCACGGCTGAGCACGCCCACTCAGGTACGGTCTGATCAGGTTTGGGCACGGCTGAGCACGCCCGCTCAGGTACGGCCTGAGCACGGCTGAGCACGCCCACTCAGGTACGGTGTGATCAGGCTTGGGCACGGCTGAGCACGCCCGCTCAGGTACGGCCTGAGCACGGCTGAGCACTGCTGAGCACGCCCGTTCAGGTGCGGCCTAGGCACGGCTGAGCACACCCGCTCAGGCAGGGTGCGAATCAGGGTTGTTCTCCAAGCATCGCGGAACGTGCGCCCCCCCCCCCCCCCCGCCTCTCACCCCCACACCCATCGGCCGCACCGACAACTCGAGAACGATGGACAATGGCTCACCTCCACGCGGACGAACGTGAGCGTGGAAACGCTTTGGAAAAGACTGTCATCCGGTGTCACTGCAGCTTATCCGTGTATCCGTTTGTCTGGACGTGTAGCAGTTCGCATCCAAAATACATTTTGATAGGAAAGCTGGGCACGAAGGTTTGCATTCAAACAACAGGTTCGGTACCATCGATGCTCCCTTGCAACATGCCGGTTGACACTGGCGGCTTTATTGTTCCTTCTAATCGACTAGCCCAACGAACTCGAAAAGGTCTTGAAACACCAGAAGAACACGGCTGGGGCTGAGATGTGCTGTTCGATTAACGTTTTTGTAATTTTTAATAATATAATTATAACAAATATATAAATAAGGTAATAAAATAGATTACGTTTTTGTCATTATAATGATCATAATTAATTTATCCGCGATTTGTAAACAGATGCAGGTGACAATAGGAACCTAAACCTCCTTAATTACCGCCGAGCGGAGACCGTTTCCGAGTAGCAAAGCTGCGAGCGCCCCAGACGAATTCGCTCGCTTTCCGCCGCACCCCGTGGGGCCTTTAACGTTGACCTTCTCTGGGTGGCCGCATTACGGTCCGCGGCCGGGGTATGTGCTCAGGTCTCGGATCGTTACTCGCCAGTCCCGCGCCGTTTAATGGCCGGGCGGGGCCTGCGCCGACAGTTATCGCATGCCATCCGTCGGCGGGTACGACCCAGACGTCCCGTCGGCTCGAGCACGCCCTGGCGCGAGCGTGGTGCCGACGCCAGCTTGGAAAGTGGTGTGACTCCCGCTTTGCTGCCGATAGACTTGTTGAAGCTTTTTATGTTACGTACTGTGATGCGGCCGCACGCAGATTCAGACCTGTTGTAGCGTTTTTTTTTTAAACTTCGGGCTTCTGTTTTCCTACGTTGTCGTTCGTATCATTGTGGTGCACTTACCGCTCCTGATCAACATATCTTCTGCCCCCTTCTCCGCTAGCCTGTTCTGTCTCCGCTCGTGCTAACGCTCCTCTCCAAAAGCAACAGGTCAAATGAAAAAACTTGAGGTGTGTGTATCCGGACCAGTGGGGCCAACACAGCCCGGTCGGACGGGCTTGCGGTACCGGCGAGACACAGCTGTCGCTCCGATCTAGTGAATGGGGAAATTCGTTGGCTGCTTTGACTTCGTGAGGTGATTTCACAGCTGTTATGACTTCATTACTGCAGTGGCCTAGCAACTCCATAAAGTTGGATGCCTGCAATGACTTGTAAACGGTAATAGTATGTGCATGACTGCACAACTTTGACGCCGTGGTGACTTTCCGAACGAGGATGGTTGTGACCAGGCACCCTGTCCCTGACCCCGCCGCCCCGTGCCCTGACTCCTGCCGCCCCGTACCCTGACCCCTGCCACCCCGTACCTTGACCCTTGCCGCTCCGTGCCCTGACCCTGCCGCCCCGAGCCCTGACCCCCGTTGCTCCGTGCCCTGACCTTGCCGCCCATGCCCTGACCCTGCCGCCCGTGCCCTGACCCTGCCGCCCGTGCCCTGACCCTGCCGTCCCGTGCCCTGACCCCTGCCGCGCTGTGCCCTGCAGCCGGAGCGGCCGGTGGCAGGCGCCGCTCGACTGGCGGCCGTGCTGACGGCCCTGCAGGAGTGCGGCGACCAGCTGGTGCGGCTCATCGCCGCCCGAGACGAGCAGCGGCTGAGGTCAGTGCGCGTGCTGGTGCCGGCCCGCGTGCGCCAGCTGACCGGCGACCGCGCGCCCTCCTAGCGGCCACGCGCCGCCCCCACACGCCGGGCAAACGGGTACACGACTGCACTGAGCAGTATGCCGGCTACACCGGTATCGATGTTCGAACACGAGGGAGGTCCACGGGCACGGGTAAAGAAGCTCCGCGGGTGTGAACACCACCCCAGCTTGGTTGTCCGTACGAAACGTCAGGCACGGACCTGGGCGTCCGTGGGGAGCTTGAACCCCTGGGTGACGGGTGACGACCGCCTGGTAAAGCACGCAAGGGAGGCTGCTGTGGGTCGGATGGGGGTGATGAACTCCGGCACTACTTCAGACCCTGCCGCCTGCGATCATCTCCCCACATGCCCAACGCTCTGTGCACATGGGTTCGCACCAGGTGGCTGTGCCCGCACAGTCCGCGCGCGCGCGCGTGTGCCCTTCTCGTGTCGCCTCTGACTGTGACGTCCGCTTCAAGGCCGCGCTGCGTGTTACTGCGCCTGTCTGTATACTCATTAGCTTATAACCAGTGGGCGAGGACAGTAGTTAGTCATGTTCACCCAGAGCTCGCAGCGGTGCCACCCGTCCTGGTGACGGTAGAGTGTAATCAGGCAGCGTCAGGCATCTGCCAAATGTGATCACTGTTCGTTGATAGAGGCACGTTGACTTAGCAAATTTGACGTGTTTTGTGTTATGTGCTCTACTCAGTGGACATCATCGTGAAACATTTTGATAGCGAATGAATAAACCTCGGTCAGTCTGATCTTGTAAGCAGTTGGAAGAATGCACGGAGGCAACGTAGCTGGAACATAAAATGCGCGTCATAACGCTGTCTGCCGGACCATCTGACTTGTAAAAAGTTGCTGCGCTGCTATAGTGGCTTGCCGTTTGCTTTGACAACAGTTTCAGTTCGCTCAACTCAATGATCTGGTCGTCGATTCAAACAAAAATCAGCATATACCTTATCCTACCCTCGAACAGACCGGTTCAGTGCACATGCTGTTGGCTTCCCGACAGCTCACTGGAACTCAGCTTCTTCTCCCAGTTTGGGATCCTGGGAGCCATACCTTGTTCCCACTCACGAGCAGCGCCGTCTTGTCTACCACGCCCTCCGATGCGCCTAACACTACCAGGGAGCCGACAGCCTACAAACACTGCAGTCCACGTCCATTCTCTCTGGTGGCTGGCTCCTTGCGCAACTCGCTCATAGCCTCACACACTCTCTGCTTCACTCGACCTACGTGGGTCTCCATCTTTCTTGTCCTGAAGTCGCATTGCCCTCATTCTTCAAATGTCCTCATGTGCACCGACGCAGTCCCTCCCTCGGACCCGCACCACTGCCGCTCCTTCGCAGTCTACCGTGCACCGACGCAGCCCCTCCCTCGGACCCGCACCACTGCCGCTCCTTCGCAGTCTACAGTGCACCAGCCGCGTCCCGAACGATAGTGGCCACCAGCGCAGGTGCATGCTCAACAACTAAAGCGCATGGGCAGAGGCAGTCGTTCGGCAACGGTGGTCAAGGAGCTGGACATAGCAACGAAACCCCTGTAAGCTGCTTTGGGTTTTGCATGGCTCCATTCCAAGTAAAAGCAACAGCTTAACTCACAGTAGCATGCCGCACGTGTATTTCCTATCCTATGGCTTTGTGGTGTCTTAACGCGCAGCGCTCTCAGTTGCTTCGTGATTGTACTTCGTAAGGTGAATGTCTTATGGTTAGTGTAGGCACACCTTGCATATATATTTATATGCATATGTTTATTCATTTATATGTTCATATATATATATATATATATATATATATATATATATATATATATATATATACGCATATCCATTTGGCACGTAAAACTCATGCTACACATCAGGGTGCCGTGTGGTTCTACAACGCGACATGTCTTCCAATAAACCTTCTGTGCGTTTTCTCGCCCGTGCATGCGGCAGGCAAACACTTAAATGACTGCTTTAGCGGATTTTTTACCGACGTTTTAGCTTGACTTCGGTTTTTCATTGTCCATCCCATCGTATTGATTTAAGGCCCGCTTTCCTATCTTCATTTGCACCTTTTATTTTAGCTGTAGCTCATTGTATTGTTGTCTTCATCGCAAACAATAAAGGCCATTTTTTAACACGCGCCCGGCTGGCCGGGCTAGATACCCTTCGCTCGGGTGGGGGCGGGGAGGGGGGGGGATTTGACCCCCTCCTGAGATATCGGGAACTAAGAAAGCTAGAGACACCAAATTTGTAGGGTGTGTTAATCTGTACGTGAGCTCACTTAGGTCAAAGTTTCAGGTTCCAAGGTTATGATTTTCGGGTCAAAAAAGGTCAAACAAGGTCAAGTTCCAGGTTGGTCTCCAAAGTGCCCCCCGAACCTACATAACCGTTTCTAAGCAAAAGGTCGCATGCTCATTCAAGGTCAGTGACCTAGTTTGACCTTTTGGAGGTCAAGGTGACCAAAATCATGCAAGATTGCTTTGAGTTTTACATCTGTCTAAGCAACAAAGATTACGTTAGGCAGTATGTGCCTAAAACAAAAGTATTGACCCGGGTCATCGTATGCCAATGACCTATTCTTACCTCTAAGTAGTCCATGGAAGATGTAGAATGCGGTTCCTGCTATCAATAAATTCGAAATGAGCACCAGAAACCATCCCATACAGCAAGCCCTAGAGCAACAAAACAGGTTGCTTTTGACCTTGGTGTGACCTTTATACCTGACCTTAGGTCAATGCAATTTGATCATTCAACTGTTGTGTTGCCTGAGAAAGCAGCATCTCAGAGATGTATGAATTCGTCTGACATTCCGTTGCTGGATCAGATTGAAGGATTCCTAGAAATTGCCTCTGCTGAAACCATGGCCTGGCTTTGACCTGTTATAGGTCAGTGATCTTAGAAGGGAAACCTAAATTTTTGATGCCTAACGATCCGCTATTCAATTGTCCACAGCTAAGCAAAATTTGGCGTGGCTACGGCGCGCCGTTCGGAAACCATTTTGGAAAAACCTTCGAGGGGGTGGTCAGTTTGACCACCACCCGAGCACGTGTTAAAGCACAGAGGGTGTGAACTAATGATGCAAATCTCCTCGAAAACAGTCCCTCGTCATCCTTTTACCCTCATGCTCTTACTAATACCTTGTCCTTTATGGGTAGGCTTAACACGGCATTGCAACTGCGACACAACTAATCGAGCTACTCAGCGATTTTGATTCAGATTTCCACGTGCTTTTAGACCCTGGGGTTGGATGCTATTTGGTGGCATGCGTTTTGATCCTGATTTCATGTGAATGTTAAGTGATGAATATAAGACGTCTGACCTCTGTATTTGATGTCGGATTTTTGGTTCCTATTACACATGGACCCGGATGGCAGCCCGGAAGACGTTATTCGGTTTTTGACGGGTCAGAAGTCGTAAGGGTATATTGTGATAAAGAAGCCAGCCAGAGAAAGCATAGGGCTCTGACCATGGGGCGCCTATGGCCGGAGTGTCGCCGATTTATTGGGTTCATATAGGGTAAAACTCGTTCCTGGAAAATTACGTCGGAACCTGTTTTCGGAATGGCATTGAGCAACTGTGAAATATAGTCCTACACAACAAAGGCTACCCTAGTTTCTTGCCGACCCCTCAGTTTAACGCGACTTTTTTCTTTCCGTGTTCACCACGAAAGACAACAGAAAATCAGTTACTCGAATTGTGAGCTAGAATGATGGTTGCTATGTATGTTCTCTCCTTAGTGACAGGCTTGCGTTTATTACAACCTGAGCACATTACACAGCTGTTTGTTGTCTATATTGAACACGCTGCATGTACAATATATCCATATATACACATCTATATGCAATAACACGGCTTCTATCCTAAACCGAAACGCTCGATCGGCTCTGTGTTTTTGTTCCTTGAAGCGATGGTGCATAACATTGTATTTGAGCTGTGTTGCGAGATACGCTTTTTATGCCGCATCTTCTTGGCATGGGCAAGCCTCGGTTACGCTTTGTCTTTGCTACCCAATCATGTAAGACCATAGGAGACCAATGATAATTTTGTTCTTTTTCCTTTCAGTGCGTAATTTTTTATTCTGAGTATTGAGCTGCGCGATGCGTGCCAGCTGATGCCTGACTTCAATTTAGTGACACATGATTAAAGTCGACATACGGTACATCCAAGCTCATTAGACCGTGCAGGCTAGCAGCCCGAGAGGGTGACACAATCTGACCTGACGGTGGTGTTTTCGCCAGGGGAGTCTGTCCGTGCAGCTGAGCTGCGGCGGTGCGAGCTGTCCGAGAGACCTACGGCGGCGGCCATCGTCTGGAGACGACACCCCAGCTCGGGGGGGGGGGGGGGGAGGGCGGCGCCGGCCGCAGCGCGCTGGCTCAGACAGCCGGCAGTCGCCGGCCGGCTCGGCCGACATTGCCATGCAGCACGCGGCCCCGCATCAATGCCGGCATCCTCGGCAAGTCATAAGCCGGCGGCCATATCAGCCGGCGAGCCGCCCGCTCCGCCAGGAGGGGGCGCCTGGCGCGGATGAGCCAGCGACCGGAAACGGACCGCTTCCGAGTGGACACGCTGCCGATAGAGGCTGCCGTGTTGGTGGCTGTCGCGGCTCGTCAGCCTGGCCAAGGGTCGATCACTCGTGTTGTGCTGCGTAGGCGCTGTTGAGCTTGTGTTGCGCCAGTGATCTTCACGGCGTGCTGCTACAGTCGTGCGCGCATGGATGCGCCTCTTTGTACTCTCTTTTATACCGCACAGGTTATGACTAGAACAAGCTGTGTGTTTGTGCAGACCGGACGTAATGGTTGGTCTTTCAGTGAACGCCCGGTAGGGTCAAAGAAATCTACGTGTCTTGATACATCCAAGTCCATAACTAAATCGTGTCTTTTTGGTGGGGAGGAATAAATGAGTACTGGGTTTGATATCGGAACAAAATTGCAGCTGCTGAGGCGAAGATAGAAGAGATATTGTGGCAGCCATGCCAACAGGAAACTACCTAAGCTGTAACAAATATTCAGATCAGTTACGACGCCTTTAAATTCTGGAATGGCCAGTATGTACCACTACGAATATGCAAGAGACCAAGAACTAAGAAAATAACACAAATGGACGGTATTTGCAGGATATTTAAATGGGCTGGTAAGAATGGACGGGTGCCTTTGGTTTAGTGTATCCTGTACTGGTTCGGCATGAAATGACAAACAAACAAAAACGCATGACAAGACAGCTGGTGATAACGCAGGCGGTATCGCACACTGGTGCGTCGTCGGCGACGACACACCGCCCACCGGCCGCCGAGCTGTCGCTGGCAGCAGCGCCGGTGACGTCGTCAGTGGTCGCCGTCTGGGTGTGCTGCGACGCGGCCGGGCCCGCTGCCAGACTGGTGACGCTGGTCGGTGGCGAGCGAGATCTGACAGCGCATCTGACAGGCGGTGATTGGCTCGGGTCCGTCTCTGGAGGTGGCTTATATCCCGGGCTGCTCAGCGGAATAGCGTGACCTGTACGGTACCGCAAGGCATTTCACACAGATACCTTGTCAACCGGAAATCAGACATGTTGCACTAGTGGGTGTCAGGAACACCGCAAGTACCTAACCGATAAAAGCTGAACGATCTGTGTATGTCGGGACATCAGCCTTGCTTTTCGACGTTGGGCGTGGAGCCTACGCTGGATCTCCTGCGTGATATTTGCCTTCTGAAACAACTTTCATGCCGCTGTCAATGACACAGCGGCAGTGTACGGCACAGCAGCAAACTGGACGAACGTTCCTCATCGGCTGTGGCAGCAGCGCCAGCCGTCCGTGGCGCGGCCGTCCAGAGAGGAGCCGCTACCCTCCAGTCCCTCCCCCCCCCCCCCCCCCCCACACACACTCACAATCCCTCTGCCGGTGGCGGGGAACCCGCAGACACGTGTCAGCCTATCACCCGAGGTCGACTCCTGGCTCACGCTATGTTCTCGTGAAAGCGAGATACTGGATCCTGGTTCTATCTGGTTCTTTCATGAATACTCACTGCTGGTTCCTGGATCCCATTCGTTGTTTTGCAGACACCGAACTGAGTTCCTACCTCTCATTGGGTCTCACTGGGCCTTTCAAGCACAGGAATGGTGTTTCCTGGCTCCCGGTGGCTCTTAACAAAACCAGCGCGTTTCCCATTTATTTTCCACAAGCACCCGATGTTGTTCCTTGTTCTCGCGGGCTCTGTCACAAACATCAGGCTCGGGTCACTTGTGTCTGATGATTCCATCACACGGACTTGAATCTGTTTATTAGTTCACCTGAGCTTCCCACAAGCATCATGTCCTAGTTTTTGGTTCGGTTTTTTGTGACAGGCTCACTCATAAAATACCAGTTCCCGGCACTTGCTTCTGAATTGGCTCAATCGTGAACACCACGCTCACTCTACTATTGCCACTTATCTACCATTGATAGCATGTCCGCCTGAAACGAACAAGGCACGTTGATTCAAGTGAAGCAAGAACGTGTCATGCATGTCCAGCAACGCATCTCCCATACAGTGATATAGTGATATCAGTCATAACGGAATCACAGTGTGGTCAAGGCGGAACTCGTGAAAGTCATGTCTAGCAATTTCTATCTCACTTAACCCAAGCAAGCTGCACGCGCCACTTGTTGATTATTTTCTATAGTATCCTGTTGACAAAACTGCAGGTTTCATCACATGTCGGTGGCATATAGATCAGGCTTCAGCCAGGTATCGGTGCCTGCTGTCCCAAACCGGTTTGGCCGAGCGGTGGGCGCCGTGGGAGCCGCGGCCAGCGCTCCGAGGGGACCGTCACCATTACACGCAGAGTGGAACCGCTGCTCAACTCTGCAATGGAACAAACAAACGGGGCAATGATAAAGGCTGCCAAAGGTTGGCTCTGGCTGACATCCGTCGTCACTTGGTGGTTTCTCGCCGCCCAGTCAGGTTTGCTTGAACTGTGCTTGAACTACCCGGTATGCCTGGAATGATGTGTTTGCTATAATGTACAGCATAGGTCCTACCTGCGCGGGCCACATGATTATCATGCCTCTGACCATCAATAAACCATGCTGAGGGATGCCCAAATCCCTGGCTACGGCGACCATTCATGCACACGCACACACGCACACACACACAGCTCTCCAAACAAACACCGCACGTCAGCGCTCAACGAAAACAGGCGGTAACGACGCGATCAGGCGCTGGGACTTTAAAAGCAGCGTACACAGGCGGCGATACGGCGCCCGTGGGACTCAGCTGGCTGGCGTTCACCGGCCTGAACTGGCCGACAGCGTCGGGTCCATTGGAGGCGGCTACCTGCAGCCCAGCTGCCGGTAGGCCCAGCCGAGGGGTCCGTCCGCCGGGGCCGCCCAGTCGGCCCAGCCGAGGGTCCGTCGCCGGGCGCCGTCGGCCCAGCCGAGGGCCCGTCGCCGGGCGCCGTCGGCCCGGCTCCCAGCCGGTCCCGTCCGTCAGCCGCTGTTCCAGTCTCGACCGCTGTCTGCCCAGACCTGCAGCGGAACACCCGGTGGCCGGCTCGCTGCCGGCCGTGACCAGAATGGGCGCCGGCACGCTGTGGGCGGCTGTCGTCCTCTGCCTGGCCGCCACCGCCCAGCCACGACTGTTTCGGATCTGGCCGGTAAGTGGATGTCGTGCAGAGCAAGGGTCGCCTGTTACCGCCCATCACCGCGTCGTCGGCCGTCATAGCATTGATCATGCAGTGTGATCATATGTAATGTCACCATTGTAGTGCCTCGATATGAAAATGTGACATTACAACACAACGTGATGCTTTTAGTTGCACTTATAAGCATTGAAGAATTTACCTAGACAGCGTGAATACTAGCTTGCAAAGGCTGTGGCCAGAACATTTTGGGGCTTGCATTTGAAAATCTTTGCGGAGTGCGAAAGTGCGGAAACGTCGCAGCGGCGTTCAGAAGTGGGAGCTGAAAAATATCGTACAGGAGCGAGGACCGCACGGTTCACTGGGCGGTTGTTGAGATCATTTTGAAGTGGGTCGACCGTTACTTTGACATCTACCAATCAGTCATTGTTGCATCTCAACACTTGATGAGCCAGCAAACATGGAGATGGAAACCTGCCTTTACATATCAGTTGTCACTGTACGATTTAGCCGAAACCAAAGGTGAATTGATACTCTGGGTGCACAAAAAATCGTTTTACTTTTTGAGAGTGGCGTATGCTTTTTTATGGATAGCTCGTCCATCTTCAATGCCAGGTCGTTTTTTATTCGCCTCAACGCAAAAAAAGTTAAGTACCATATAGTCATTCGGCTAGGCCGGTAAACTATCTAATGTCACTTGCAATCATACCTGAAATATTGCCGCTTTCACGGAAACAAAGCAGTGATGCTGGTCACCTGTTCCGCCCCGCTCGTACCCTGGTGGTTGAAGCAAGGCGATACACTGACTAGGCAGATAAAACTCATAGTTTTAAAAGGTGACAACATAAATAGATGCATACAAGGTCAATAAAGGGCAGATACAAGGTCAATAAAGGTCAGATACGAGGTCAATAAAGGTCCGAGACAAACGCTCACACAACATTCACAGACGCCTTGTCACATCGTCATACATCCGGGCCGATGATAACTGTACATGAGAAGAAGACAAATCTCGCAGAGTTGTTCTGCCGATTATGAAGCAACTTGGCGCCGGTGGGCTCTCACAGACTCCACGCCACACGTTCATTTCTCTATCGAAACGTGCTGATTTGGCGTCGCTCCGGTCAGCAGTTGCCGAGGTGTGGCCATGGTTTCACACGATCGCCCTGTGGCCTTGTCGCCCGTCGCTTTTTCGGCCGCCCATGCAAAACCAATGGGCTAAAACAGCAAGTTGTCTCGGGCGCCACGCGCCACCCGTTGGCCACACTGGCATGCAACTCGGTATGACACGTCCGCCCGTGTGCACGTGCGCCGTGTCAAACTTGCACCTGTAAGCGATCCGCCGTTCGACCTGTACACGCTTCAACAGGCAAAAGACGAAAAACATGCAGACAGACAGACTCGCCATACTCAAGAAGCTATTTAGACAAGTATGGCCCGTCTACTTTGCTGGGCGATTGTGACATTCGAGGGTGTGCCAACTGATACTTTGACACTTCCAAAACAGAAAATACATTGCTCCATTTCAACTCACGCTGCGCAAAAGCACGCGGAGAAGGAAGCCTGCCCCAGCATATCAGTTTCTACTTTATGATATAATGGAAAGTGAAAGGATACCATGACGACCTACAATTTTTGTTTCCCTTCCGAGAATGAGCTGTCTATGCTTTCATGGGTAACTCGTCTAGCTTCAATGCCAGACCGTTTTCTATTTGCCCGAT